AGGGCCATATGACGGTGAAACATCGCTTCCCTTACGATCACCAAAATTAAGCAACTTCGTGCCTGGTCAGTACCTAGATGGGTGACCACTTGGGAATACCAGGTACTGTAAGCTTGGGTGTTCGGGTGGTATAATGAATAATGGCGCGGAATTTTTAATCGGAGTGCCGAGTTCCAATTCTAGTTGGGTTCGTTATATTCACTTATTTGCAAATATCACCTCTTCTCCCCCATCTATGGGTTAATTACTGAAACTTGTATCACTAAATCATAATTATCTCCCCACGAAAAAAATTCTTACAAATTAGAAATATTTTATGGCTCTAAGTAACCTGGTTGATAAGCAATAGAAAACAAATCAATCGATCAATATTTTAATGGTCAGCAAGAAAAGCTCGTTATTCTAGTACAAGACCATCTTTTTGAGATCAGACGCATTGTAGTTATAATGTTCTGAGAGACTAACTAACGAAAATCTCGAAGATCCACTTAAATATCGTACTAAATGGTATTGGTGAAAGAAGCGAAGAGAGTAATATTTTTTAATTTTTCGTTTGGCACAAGGCCACCAGTATAAGTAACCAAATGAGGATCAACTTCCATCTGAAAGTAGCTTGCTAAACTTGCCCTAGAGCGAGACGCTCAGTGATAGCAGTAGTAGATTAATATTGAAACATCAATCCTTTGATTATAACTGTTTAGATGAAATGAAGATAGCATTCAAAGAATTTTTTGACATCAGCGATAACGTTGTGGTACAAGTTGATGACGAAAAATAAAAAGAAAAGATTTTGAATTGTTGAGATCAAATTTGGAAGTCGATAATACGAATCAGCAAAACCGCTGAACCATCAAATTTTGGTTTGTGAGGTCTGCTGCAATAGAAGTGACAAAAGATGGTAGTTTATTGAGAACGGTCGTGGCAGCAGTAGCTGTAGCTGCGTTAGTTTTCTTTAAAGTATAAGCAGTAGAAATGGCTGTAGTAGGAACGAGGGACAGTTTATAGAGCGGAAACAGAGAAGTCTGATATTGTTAGTGTCATTTATGTCAGTCATAGCGATATTAATAATTGTGGCCTGGTTCATTGTAAGAGTGAAGTTTTGTAGTTTACGAAAGCTAGGCTCCTGCGATAACCGAAAGAACAAAAACACCTGTAAAAATTCCTAAGAAGCAATAAGCACTTCAACCGAAAAATAATTTAAATTTTACTGAATGGTTAATCCATATTTTACATAAAACATTATTTTCAACAACACTACTTTTTAATTTCTGTTATGCCTACGTGTTTTACAAGGCGGTGTCCAAGTTTTTGTTCATATATGTTAATTATATATTATTATAAAATATATTTACTAGCAGAAGGCCAAAAGCATAGTGCACCCAGTGAGGTTCGAACTCATTTTATAGTTTTAATGTTCTTGTAAGTGTAACTCGTTAACCATTGCAAAACGGTAAAGCGCCTTACAGGAATTTACTAACTTTAGCTTACTATAGTAATAAAGAATATAAGTGTAGGTCTTCCAATGAGGATATACACAGTAGTAATTGCTTGCAAAAGTAGCTCGTTAACCACAACTCTAAGCAGAGAGATAGCCACCACCACCACTACCATCATTGCTTTAAATGAAATCCTTATTTTATTTTTTTTAAAATCAATGTATCAGTTACTGAGTTTAGCTTTATTTTCATTTTTTTCTCTCTCAAAGCTTGATCAAAATCAAGCATGGAAACTGAGGTGAGATGCCTGCCTTCAGATTTGAAACATTTTTTTTTATTATCTAGATTTGAACATCCGTTGCTTAAAGTGTAAAGCAGATTTATGTGACCACGGAAGCATGCCTGTATATTTTGTTAATCATTTCACCCCAAGCAAGGTGAATGGGGTTACTGAGTACGAGAGAGAATATGAGAAAAAATGATTCAGTAGAGAGAACAATCATCATCATCATCATCATCATCATCATCATCATCATCATCATTCGACCTCCCAATGGTTCGTAGCAACTCCATTGACAATCCCTTTCCACACTGTTCGGTCCTGTATTGCTGTCCCCAAGCCCTCAATGTCCAGCCATGATTCCCGAGCTATGGTGTCTGGAAAAGTCAATTTTCATGAGAAGATACTTACAGAAGGATGCCATAGGAGTAAGGATGAGACGATTTTCCTGTCCGCTTGGTGGTAGTGGCTAGAAAACTGTAATCGTTTTTTTTTTGAGCTTAAGAGAGATTGGTCTCAGTTCTCCGTAAATTGTGTTACGCATTACATAGGATCTTCAGCTGATGTTCTGGATTTTTCTAAGTAGATTGATATATTGAGAGAACAATAAAAGAACATGTATTCAGAAGATAGAAGCTTTTCTCTCTTACGATATACATTATTAATCCTTCTTTTCAGTTTAAGCTAACGTCCTGTTTTGGGAAGAGTGATAGTGGCTTTCTAGACTTAGACATTTTTCTTTAAGCGTTCATTTTTGCAGTAATTATTAGTGCTAGCGGCAAGGTCTCAACATTTTCCAGTTGAAAGAGTTAAGTTCTATGCTAACAGTTTCTCTTCTCACACTTCTCGCTTGTGGAACTCTCTTCCGGCTTCTTCCTTCCCTGTCAACAACGATCTTCAAAAGTTTAAATGTAACGCCAATCGTTTTTCCTGAAATCTCTTCTTTCATTGCCCTTTCTTCTAAATAAACTTTTTTCAGTTTCCTTCATACTCAGTAACCCCTTGTGTCTTAGTGGCTTTATTGCCCTGCTTAGGATGAACTGATTAAAAAATATCAGTCTAGTGGGATGAAATATTGAATATATGGACAAAGAAAATTTATTTAATTGTATTAATGGATGCAAATATGATGTCAGTGTTATAACTTGCTGGGGTTAACAAAAGTATTCTTGTAATAACATCACCAGTGATATATATATTAGTACCAATAATATAAATTTATATATTTTATGGAAACATTTAAAATATCGGTTATACAAAATTCTATGACCATTATAACGTAGTCCAGTTATAATAGGGATAATCCTAGATAACTGTCTTAACCATTTGCAGACAGATCTGCCAAATCTGGTTAACCACACACAATAAAATCTTATATTGCAGTTGATTTCTATCACAGAAGCCCAAAGCAGATACTCATGGGCGACAATATCTGTCCCATTTCGTTTCAGTTTATGCTAATCTATAGATTGTAAAAAATTAGTAAGTCATAGAGTATGATGCTAAAAAGGCATAAGCGAATTTTTTGATAGGAGAAAAAACACGGAATAGCACAATTCAAACGCCGTTTTTTTTCCTCCTTAGTGCACACTGCTAGCGGAGCGACCATGTTTACATTGTAACAGCAGCAAGAAAACTGGCGCGATGAAATGAAACTCAAACAGCGGTCAAGTGACTACAATAGTTCCAACTATAGGCGCACATGCGCAGAAGGCAGTGTGACAAACCTAAAGAACTGTTATGGCGAAAGTGCGGATAATTTTTGACTTAGCCTCGTATTTCTTTTCGTAGGGTAATTCTTTATAGTGAGTTCGCCTCTTATTAAATATATGGTACTTGTGACCTTTTGCTAGATTAAAGTTAAATAAATAACTTGACTTGCTTTCTGGTAGAAATTATCCCTTTATTTCTCACTGATGAAAAGGGTGGGAGTTCAAGATAAGGTAAATTTGTAGAATATCAATTTATAAATTTCTAGGAAGGCAATACTTCTGCCTCTTGGAGGACTAGCGTAACACAATCTTCGTTTTCTCATTTTTACCTTTGTGTTGTACTAAGCAAAATTTGATAAATTTTGAGATTCTCGGGCAATTTCTACCAGTGTCAACGGTCAGTGTTCGAAAATAGGTTAAAGGCCAGGATTTTGAAATCTAATCTTGATCTCCTAATTAATTCCCTTTGGCCTTGTGTCTTACAATGCTAAAACTAGTAAATGTTAAGGATACTGATTTCTAATTCTCTAGGTAGGTAATCCTCAAAATTCTTGAAAGGTAGATGCAATACAATCTTCGTTTCCCCTACCCCTCTATTTGGCCTTGTGTCTTACTAAGCTAAACTTAGTAAGTGTTAAGTATATTGATTTCTATTTTTCTAGGTAGGCAATCCTCAAAATTCTTGATAGGTAGATGCAACACAATCTTTTTCTCTCCTACCCCTCTATTTGGCCTTGTGTCTTACTAAGTTAAGTAAGTGTTAAGGATACTGATTTCTATTTTTCTTGGTAGACAATACTCAATCTCTTTAAAGGTAAATGCAACACAATCGTCGTCTCCCTTATCCGTTTATTTAGCCTTGTGTCATATTAAGCTGACTTCGTATTAATGATATAGATTTCTAATTTACTAGGCAAGTAATCCTCAAGCATCTTGGAACTCTGGCGCAATATTCTTGATCTTCCCAATTACTCCTTTGGGACTTGTGCTTTAATAAGCCAAACTCTTAAATGTTGAGATGTAAATGTTCGGTGTCAATGTTCGGCGTTCGATTTCAAGTATGAAGTTAAAATTTCGAATGCTGATCTTCTAGAGAGCAGACCATTCGCATTTGAATGAGTAGCGTAACACAATTTCTCTACTCATATTCCTGCCACCCGCATATACGTTTATCATGTAAATAAGCTAAGCTTATAAAATATCGAAAATTGAAGAAATTCGTGAAATAGAAGCGATCATAGAGATGGAAACAACAGGTGATAAAACGAATATCAAAGTATTTGCAATGAAAATCATTCCATTTACGATAAAGAGTGTGATAACATATTGCATTTACAAGAGGTGACAACTGCAGAGGATGTGTTGTGTATGGTAAGTAGCAGTAGAATCAGCCATATTGAAAGCCCAAACACTCGTGACTGAAGAATTTGTTTTTAGTCGTGTCAATCGTAGCGGCCACAGTGCTGATATTCACTAAGCTTACTTTAGTTTGGTACAAGGTCAATATGTTGAGAATACCATAGACTAAACATGTGACCAACGAAAACAGTTTTAGAGGAAAGGGATACAAAAAGGACACTTACACTTAACATCAGAAAGAGACAGTTGAAATTTCTAGTGCAAATAATGAGGAAGAAAGGCTTAGAAAATTTGACACTCACAGGGCATATTGAAGGCAAGTTGG